AAGAGTCGCCAATATAAATACAGAAGGCTTGGTGATCCACAGAGCCAGTTTGGACATGATGGAAAAAATAAGTTCATGTCTGTAAGTTCAGAAATATATTGGTAATCAGTTCAAACCATGAAGGCACATAGGGGATAGCTACACCTTGACATGCAGGTGAGTGGTCAGTTGACCACACTCCATGCACTTTTCCATAAGCCAATAGCACCACAATCACTAGTCAAAGGGAGGTTATGTAGGTAAATTTAGTTACAGATATCTGCGGTTGATATTTTCACAAAATGAATATATTCCATGACTGCATAAGGAAATCAGTGAAGTCAAAGAAAAGGACTGAAAAACAGTCATGCACTTGGAACTACATTAGGGTCCTATGTATTAAAAGAGAAACACAAAATTTAACTTTGTGCAGGTAGCACTGTTGGCAATAAAAGTCCATTTGACTTCTCAGGTCTTTTTAAGATGCTTCTGTTTATCTTTAATTATTGGTTTCACATATCTTTGTATATATTTTTGCAGTCACTGTCTAAGCAGAATTCTCGAACGAGTCGCCGTGATTCATCAGATACAGGAGATGACCGAACTCCAGGAGAGGAGATTGTAGGTGTGTACAATGAACAGCAAATGACATTGTCAGGCAGAGCCGCAGACCCAAGACTGACACAATCTTGCATCATACAATGCCACACGTCTACTGCTAGTCCTGAGGGCTGACATGTTACCACTGTACATATGCTTTCTCTTGGTTTGGAAGAATAGAAGACAGCCTTCTTATTGATATTGCAGCTTGGGAAATATTCTATTTTTTGGAAAGGAAATACACTGTAGCACACATACTGAATGAAGTACCATCTATATTTTAACATTTTGTCTGTTGATTTTGTAGCAGTAGTTGAAAATAGTGTCCTACAGTATTCAAACACATTTCTCAATGATGCGTTCACAGATTACAGATATTGTTCCCAACACTTCGGGAGTTCATACTGTTACCATGTTTTGGTAAATGCCAGTTTTTGTTGACAGATCACATTTTGTGCCTGGCCTAGTAACAATTTATTTCCTGTGTGGCTAGCCATTCCATATTTCCCAAGCCATAGCACTGTTAAGGCTGTGATAAATCACTTTATGTGTAAAGTCACAGTGGTCATATTTCAAGCTACTACTTGATCAGCCCTCTGTACAATTGCTGTTTGTTAATGATGTTCTTATTTTTATTTAAATACTGTGATTATATTATTTTATATGCAAATGTATATTAAATTTGTGTTGTTTAATGTTTCGTTATTACATTTATTTTGAAATTTATTCATTAGGGCTCTCTTGGCATGGGTATTGTTTTCTTTTTTACAGATTTTCATTTATTTAAACACAAACACCAAAAATGTTTAAAATGTAAGTATAAATACAATTCATACTACAATACTTTTAGTTTACCTTAAAATTTGTTTAATCAGGTCAAAGGAATTGAATCGTGACACGTGTGTACTTCAGGTAAAGTTTTTCTTCCGCGCTACATTGCTAAATAGTGTCTCAGTTGACATAATAATTGTGTTTCAATTTTGTACCTATTGTAGCAAGAAGCTAGGTAAAATCATGTGATTGATCTGGTTTAATAATATATCGCACATTAAAAATCCTAGTGTGGAATTTTTCTACAATTTGTTTCACTATATTTATTTATTTTTCAAAATTGTTTAATTTTGTTTGTAATTTCTTTAAACTGTTGCTCATGTCTGACAAATCACCTCTGTTCCATTTCTGTTTCCTTATAACCTGAACAAGATATACCATGGAAATACCATAATGTATCTATGAGGTGTCTGTTAAATGTGGCCAGACTCTGATGTGTATATATCAAATGTTAAAAGAATAAAGTACTGATACTTTGCTTTTGTGGCAAGTAAGAAAATAGCATGTGAAACATATGAAAGTGAAATTGTTACATATTTAATTATTGCAGGAGAAACACCTAAACTTTTTGGTCAACAGCAAGTGATTTTTATTTGGTTGAAGAGTATATTCTGGTTATAAGGAATATATTGATTCTGTAACAACATAATGCGCTGCTTGAGAAACATTGGTTAAGTTCTTTCATAAAATATAAAATAAAAGTAAGCAGTTATCATAACTTTTATTTCTTATTTCCAGATCTCCCAGGTGACAGAATGTGTGTGTGATATCTGTTCTTCTCACCATGGCCAAAACTTCAGGTGTCTGCCAAACAATCTTCTCAGTGCAATAATACGTGGCTTTTACCTTAGGATGTCAAATGTCCTTATTTTCTCTAAGCAGACTTGGTGAGTTGTGCTTATTTCTATGGTGAATGTTGTATAATACTCATGTTTCAGTGGCTCAGTAATTATGTTTCAAGACAATTTTTAGCTTTAAGTTTTCACCTGTTACAGAAAATACCTTAGAAGTAAACTATTTTAAAATGTGTAAATTACCCATCTTCACAAATATGAAAGTAAAGAATTATTTGTAAGCCCCTAACTACTACAATAAACCAAATACTGTGACTGACATAAATGGAACACATATTCAGTAAAACATACCTAAAACACAGGCTCTTCCATTTACAACACAACCCCAACTGCTGCACATAAACCCCTTCATCAATAAAACATCAAAACATAAATATGCATTTATTCTTCCTTTTGTTTTTTTATTTGTTTTACAACATTGTTCTTTATTTTTTAATTCATTCAGTTTTTTGCTCCCCCTCCCCTATATTGCTGCCCTAGGTGACCACCTAAGTTGCCTAATGGTTAAACTGTCTGTGGACATGGTAGTTTAAAGAAAATGACATTGCCTTCTACTGACAGGTGAAGAGAACTTTATCTCATAGCAGGATAAGTGTTTTCGTCTTCAGAGAGAATGCATTGATACTGTATTATTTGTTGAAGATTCAATAAACCACTTAAGAAATATGTCATGTGAATTTACTTTTGTCTGGTCCTTTATTTTCCATTATAACATGTACCTTTTAACTACATCTTACAGAGTCTTCCTTGAGGAGGATGCTGTTTTTGTGGAACTGAAAGGTTCATCACCATGTTTACAAAGCCCACACTTTGACCCTCTCCTGAGCCACTTCAGTCCAGTACACAGCTTCAGAACCTATTTTCTGTAAGTTCCATTTTAATGTTATCCTCCCATATGTGTCCCTTTCTCCCAAGTTGTCTCATCTGCTAAGACATTGAAACGTACTTAATAGACAGTAATAAAAATATGTCACTTGTTCACAGCAATTGCAGACTTTGAGTAGAATTAAAAGAGCATAACATATTTAGATGACTGTTAAGTAATTGTAATGATATAAACAAGAGAGCAGAAGAAATTAACTTTCATTTAACAAAAGGCCACTCTTAAAATTATGCTGCCTCAGTCAGCTGCTCTCTTTGCAAGTGCTGTTCACCAACCCTGAGTAAACCATAAGCATTGGTCAAGATCAGACATGATATTCTTACTGTACCTGTGAAGAGACATGTATAAGTTTAGCTTTTGAGAATAAGTGATGTCAAATGTTCAGTGTTCATCAAAACAGAAAACATTTAATATTCTGTGTGGCTTATTCCTTAAAGTCAAAGTTATACATTAAAACTACAACCAAGAAAACACAAGGACAAGTAGAAAGACACACATAATGTATTACACATGAAGAAATATATTGCAATGACAGTTTTACTGTTAGGTCACATTATGTATGAAGCACAAAAACTATATTAGAAAGTTTATTTCTTGTCAGTTGATCTCATCTGAACAAAGCTCAGACTTATCATATAGGCTTCTTGCATTGTGTTCGATATCCTATCTGTAAGGTGACCTCCACAATAATTATGCACGGTGTGGTGAAGGAGGAGCAAGTTAAAATATATTAAGTAAAAGGATATTATGTGATCCAAGGACGTACAGAAATTTAGGAGCTTTAACAGTATTAACCAATATGTCTAGCTTTCTTTGTGTTTTGTTCATCTGAGAGCAGATAGAACTCTGTAACAATTTTTAGTAATATATTTTCTGCCGCGTACCGCCAGTGGTACGCTTACCACACTTTGGGTAACAATGCCATACAAGAGTACATTACGAAAGATTTGGAAAGATTTACTAACACATTGTTGTACATTGGACGTAAAATTAATATAACAGTGTCTTAAGCTGTATATGATAATTTAATTATATTTTAAATGTCTACTACAAATAACAAAGTAGAAAAGTAATGGCATCTGCTGTTGTCATACCAATGTTATAGAAAGATATATTCCCCATTTAGTTAATCTGTGAGAAATGTGAAGTGCCGAAGTTACTTGGGGATTCGTGATGATTTGTTTAGCAACCATGTACTTCGTGTTGTATGTTGGGATTATCTATGTTGTATAGGGAACATGGCATTTTTGTGCTTGCCTGGGGAAAGGGGGAGGGGGTTAAGTGTGAACTGTGTTTGAAATGTGTTATGAGTATTTCGGCAGTTACGCTGAAGGACTCTATAAAATGGCTACCAACAAGGCAGTATTTATTTTAGACAATGGTGCATACACAGCAAAAGTTGGATTTTCACATTCCGACCATCCTAGGTATGTTCTTTGAAGATTGCCTTCCCCATGTCGCTGTGAGAACCTTAGATCATATCTTATAAAAGCTTCATTTATCCTTGCAAGTGTCCGGTATCCGAAAGTTATTCGGCTAGTGAATGGGACCCACCTTAAGATACATATGTATGAGTACAAAAGAAATTGTTTACATTCGGTAGATCGTACAGGTTGGCGCATTAAATGTTCTTCCTTTCAAATCCTACACAAAATCTATGTTTCTTACAAAAGTGTTGCATATCATACTCACTAAGGGACACAGATATGCAAAGTCCGTTCTGCTGCATTACCTTTTCTAGACAATCTTCTGCATATTAAATCATGTTACAGCTCAATATTTGAAAATGTACATGGATTGTGGCATGAAGAACACCTTGGAATTCATATATACTCCAAAGAGGACACCTTCCCCGTCTCTCTTCTCTTAACTATGGTGATTGAATCATCCATTTGAGCAAAAGTATTACCTGTTGTTAGAGCATTTAAAATTATGTAGTGTTTGATGTTTTCCTGTTGTGAATGTAGATTATGGTGGTCTCAAGTTGTTGCATCTTGTAGCGTTTCAGCTGTGCCAGAGGTTTCAAGGAACACACTGCCTTCATCTCCACGTTGTATTTGTCAGCTTTGACATAGAGAAAATCTATACAAGTGGGCATATTAGAAACAGTATACTGAATTGTATAATTCTTAATGTATGATCCCTGCTACCCTGGTTGTATGGATGTAAGTGTTTAAAGTAAAGTAGATGTTTATGTTATTGTTAATGTATTGTACTTCCTAATCTAGGGTCATACCTAACTGCATTATGAAAGCAAAGAGTGAGAGAAGGAGACCTTTTGTTGGTGATCAGTTGGAGGACTGCAGGGATGTATCAGGGCTGTTTTACATATTGCCATTCCAAAAGGTTAGATTAGTACCATTGTACAGAATTAAACTTTAAGAGTATTATAGGAATAGACAGACTGTCACAATTTATATGTAGAGTAGGAAAGTGTTTGTAATGATTTATTTATTTTCTTCATACAAGTATGTATGGCCCTTATTATCATTTATTATATGAATTATTTTTGCCTGTTATATCTGCATCTTTGTTATCGTTGCTTATGACAGTCTCATTTAGGCCTCTTTGAAGATTCTTTTGTGAGTGTACTATATATAAAGGTATAAACAAATTTACCCCCTTTGGTTTGACATTTTTGATTGCTGTTAAAAGAAAACTGCACCATGACATTAATACCTTTTAAAATTATGTAATTTTCTATATTATTTTCAATTTATTGTCTGGGTTTTTGTAATGATGGTGGGTTGTGGGTTAATTTAAGGGATATCTTGTTATTCTAGGGATATTTGGTGAACTGGGATGTTCAGAAGAATGTGTGGGATTACATTTTCAGCAAAGAGTGCTGTCCAGTTAATTTTACTGAGGCACCTCTTATTGTCACTGAGCCATACTTCAATTTCCCTTCTGTTCAAGAAGCCATGACTGAGATATTCTTTGAGGAATATGAATGCACATCCTTACTCAGAATAAATGGTAAGAATAAATTGATAGTATCAGGTAGTATGTTTGTGAGTTGTAAGTGTGCCTTTCAATAATTCAAGTCAGAAGTAGCTCAGTCAGTTTAAACTAACTTTGTGCTGGATGGCTAGGGTTCTTATCATGGTAAGGTCAGGTTATTTTATTCCCACCATATTGTGTAGGCAGGCCCAGCTTTCTGTCCAGTACACACTGGGGACTGTTTCCCAGGCAAGCTGCTGACCACTCATGATAATTGCCCTGGTAATAGAGGCATATAGCACCTCTGAAACATTGATGAACTTTTATGAAACTACACAGTGCTACAACCCAGAAGATAGCCATGTTTATACTTGTTGCCATTCCAATGGGTACTGGGGTCCTTTCCCGGGGGTAAAGCACAGCTGGGGCATGATGCTAACCACTCACCCCCACCTAATACTGAGGTTAAGACTGAGTAGGAGCTATACCACTCTCCCCCCAAGTGCTTACATGGCGTATAATGGGATAGCTTCCCCCCCCCCAATGAAAACCTAAAATCTGACAGTTTGTTGCAGTTAAGGCTTTGTCACAGGACAGCCCATACTGATGGAAAAAAGATGATCTGTTGTGGGAAAGTGTCTTATGTAATGTGTTATTACATTTATCTTCCTTTCTTTCAGCTGGAGACTTGAGTTGCTATAACTACATGAAGAAGAATGCTGGCACTTTGTGTTGTCTGTTGGTTGATTCAGGCTACAGCTTCACTCACATTGCTCCTTACATCAAAGGCAAGAAACTCAAGCAAGGGATCATAAGGATTGATGTGGGTGGCAAAATGCTCACCAACCATCTCAAGGAGATAATCTCATACAGGTATTCTGAATTAAATTAATTTTAACTGTGTCAACTTGATGAGGGCCAGCTGCCCAGTTGTTCATCATGCCTGCTGCTGTGGACTATTTTGTAAGACAAGCAGTATATTGCACAAAAATTATAACTTGTTTCTAATCCACATACTTGAATAATTCCCTCTCTGCAATATATTCCTCAGATGCTCTGTTGTGGACACAAGAAGTTCTTTCTATACTTCCATTTTGGCTAGTGTTCCTTCTTTAGTATGTTATCAATATGGAAATATTTAAACTGAGAGTCCATGGTGTCTAGATGACATAAAACCATAAAATAAACAGGATGTGGTCTTCAGCACAAGGTGGATATGAGTGGTCAATTTCACATCCAGGCTGCTTTACTCCTGAAGAAAGTTTAACCAACCTTGCTTTGTAGGTTCTCATAGAATACGCTAGGTTCCAGACTCAGTCTTAATGTGGAAGAACAGAAAAATTTCTTTCCCTGCCAGTATCCAAAGAGTGTCCACTCTGAATCCAGTCACTTCATTGACAATCTTGAAACCTTGCATACCGTGCAGTGTATTGATATGTAAAAACATGCATTCAAACAAAAGTGTTTACACTTGGTGCCAAATCCGTTTCGACCTTGAGGTCATCATCAGTGGCAAAGAAATTAATTTGTATTAAATCATACAATTCATAAGACATGGTTTGTAATAAAGCATCATCTTATGAATTGTATTATTTAATATGAATTAATTTGTTTGCCACTGATGATGACCACTTGAGGTCGAAACGTGTTTGGCACTAAGTGTCTTTTCAAGTGTAAACAGTTTTGTATGAATGCATGTTTTTATACTTTATTGACAGTTGTCCTAGCCCAAGCTTTCTTTCAGGCCTTCATATTCTTTGTTCTAGACTTCTATGTTTCTGAAATGACAGAGAACTTGACACATATCTTTAATTCTGTTCTGCTGTAGAATCAAGATTTGTATGCATTCATTTTCAGGCAGCTTCATGTAATGGATGAAACTCATGTTATGAACCAGGTCAAAGAAGATGCTTGTTTTGTGTCACAGAATTTTCTTCATGACATGGAGATAGCCCGTAAAAGAGATGCAGAAAATACAATTGCTCGAGACTATGTTTTGCCTGATTTTACTACACTCAGGCGAGGATATGTTCGTTCTATAGGTACAGCTGATAAATCCAGCGAGAGTGAACAGGTAATCTCATAAAGAGTATTAGTAATTGTATGATATTTCACATGGTGATTAAGTTAGGGAGGATGAAATGAGTGGAGCATGTAGTATACTGTTCAGGACTCATCTTTGTGACCTCACAAGCTGGTGAGATGTATGTAGAACTGTTCTTGGCTCACATATCTAATGAAATTGTAATTGTAGGTATAGGTAGGAGTTTAATAACTTTGTTTCTTAGGTTTCTTTCATGGCTTTTTTTTTGTGTGGCATAACATTTAGATTGACATATTAAAAGGAATATAGGTTTCATGTTCTTTCCAGGTTGTCTTCTTAAACCAACACAGTACTAAGAATTGCATTTATTTCTTAATGTGCAGCAACAAATTCTGCGCCTGAATAATGAACGGTTTACTGTGCCAGAAATCCTCTTCCAACCTTCAGATTTGGGTATATCACAGATGGGAATTCCAGAAGCTATTTGCCACAGCATATCAGTATGTCCTGCAGAGGCACAGTCACATCTATTTGCCAACATCCTGCTTACTGGAGGTTGCACGCTCTTTCCTGGTTTCCGAGAGCGAGTCGAAGCTGAAGTACGAAGCAGAGCACCAGATCATGTAGATGTTCGAGTTACATTGCCAGCAAAGTGAGTTGCTGATACATGTGTAATATATGGGTGTACAATAAAGTCAGTACAATGAACTTCAGTATGATGTGAGTGGGAAGATGCTGTCAATAGCTCAGACCATACAGTATTAAATTGTGGGATGATGATTGAATATTGAATCAGAAAGGTTGTGGTCTAATTAAAGGTACTGTCACAGCAATTACCTGGCATTGCTGAGGAAAGCCATGACTAACTCAGGCTAGCTAGTCTCCAGGCCAAGATTTAAATTCAGGACCTCCCAAATTCAAAGCAGGAGTGATAACCAGTGAACCACAACATTTAGTACAAATTGGAATTGAATTTATCCATCAACATTTAATGAAACCACTTTTAAGTGTCAAATGTAACTGAAATTGATTTAATTTCAGAGATGAAACATAATGAATGAACAGCCACAGCCACAGCCACTTTGATGTGTTTACTTTATGCACTCTCTAAAAAGAATGCTTTAAAATGTTGTATTTTATGTTACAAATGTCACCTTATGTCATGAGAACTTCAGTTTGAGGCATAAATTTTGTATTTTGGGTTAAGAAATGTGCTTCTTTACAAAATAATTGACAAAAGTGTATTTGGTAATTAAAATATTAATTTGTTCATGGCAGTCATGCTGTTTGTAATTGCTTATGTTCTGTGTTGACTTTGGTAATTTGTTTAATAATTGCAGTATCTGGGTAAACTACTTGACATTTTAGAGTTGCCACTAGTTTGTATTTTCTGTGTTTTTCAGCTACAGTATCACCTTCATATTCTTATTAATGTTATCCTAATCATCACATAATCATCATTATCATTCACTTTCTTTGTTGCTGGTGGAAGTTGTGTTTGTGGTTGTTATAATGCCTTTGGTGTCATTGTAGTGATTGTGTTTTACTGGTTCTGATGTGTTAATGATGTTTACTGATGCTGTGTTTCATTTTTGTGATGGTGTTATAATTGAGGTTAATGTAAAAAACATTTTCATGTTTGTCCATGTTTTATTTTGCAGCCCTGTAACTTATGCTTGGCAGGGTGGAGCATCGCTGCAACAAGACCCAGAGTTCTTCAACATGACAGTGAGCAGAGAAGAATATGAGGAAGAGGGACATAATTTATGTTTTGAGAAGTTTGATATTTGATGTCATACTTTGGTGATCAATGATGGGTAAGTCCAAGGTAATTCCAACATGTTCTCAGTCACTGCAGAAATAAGTACAGTGTTTTTCATTGTTTGCATATTTTGAACAATTTTACCAGTGATGGTAGTCGTGAGGTTTGTAAATCATGTATGGACTGGATATGTAGCATGATTGTAAGAAATGCAAATAGAATTTTGGTATTAAATGGTGTTATAACATTGACTGTTCACATTGCTATTTGCACAGTATAGGCTGTTAATCTTTATTGAAAGTTGGGACTCGGCATGTTTTATTCTCTGTGCAGTGTCAAAGTTTTCATACAGTTGATACGTATGTAGCATGCTATTATGCCACATTCATTTGATAAGGACAGGTTTTTATTGATTTTATAGTAAGTGCAGCCACTGAGTATTATATCTGCTCAGTGTTGATTTAGGTAAAGTATGAAAGTATAAACACTACAGGAAAACAAGGTGAAATTACAGTACAGTGGTAAGGATACGTATTTTGCACAAATTCCCTTTGGTGGTATAAAGTGTAGAGATGCTGAATAAGTGGTTACTAAAGAGAGCAGGTAGAAAGCAGAAAACATATGCAAGAGGGTTTGAGGTTCTCACAGCATTGAAGATGCTGTTGACTTCTGTAAATAAGCAGGGATATTGAGATTAAAAATTGTGACATTTAAGGTTACCAATTTCCATTTCAGGTCCACTCACTCTCTGTACACATTGACCAGCTCTACTTATGCAGACCAATTTCATTATTCTAGTCTTTAGTATCTATAGCACAGACAAAAATCGTTAAGTGGTCTGCCAAAACTGTTTGCAGTTTTGAAGTGGTCCTGTAAAAGGACATTTTGGGAACCACTGCAAGCTCCATACTATACCTACATTCTAAGCTGATACTATACTGTAGTCACTGCATGAGTTATGAATATTCCATTTACAAACATCTTAAAACTATAAAGTACAAAACATACAGATGAGTACAATGTAAAATATTGAGTTTTGCAAATGATAAAGGTTTAGCATTACAGAAATAAATATGCCTGTCTGTATGTTTTTGTGGCTGGAGTTAACTTTGACATTTTGCCAATAGCCACATCAAATGTTTGATGTTAACCATCATTTGGGCAAGCACTGCAGTTTCCATTTTCAAGGTAGGTATGAGATACAAACCAAAAAGCTAACTAAGGGCGGTATCCTGCACAAACGTAAGACATTGTCCCATGCTACGTAGCACCATTCCTGTGTACGAAACGCATTGCTGGAAATGGTAAAAAGTGCCTTAAAACTAAAACGGGGGTTTTGTCGCAGCAGAAGCCTCGACTGTTCAACCGTTAGTCACAATGCAAAGACACTTTGATTGTAATGCTTCCTCATTTGGCTGCTGACCTCCAGATCGGGCATGTGTAAACCATCATAGGACGGGTGAGTTGCTTGTAAAGCAGCACACCGTTTTTGACGGATAGGTCACTGCTGTTGAGAAGGGTACCAAGTACACCCAATCCTTACGCGGACCAGGTTACCCCAAGTTACTGCGCTTTTCGAGTCAATATATCCGCTGTCAGAGAAATTGCATTGGTCTGGGCTTTTGGATGCGTCTCGCGGCGTTAACGAAAAGAACAGCTGTACTCATCAAGCCTGATAGCATCCCCCGAGAACCAGAGCTCCTGCCTATCTAGGTAGGCCTCCAGACAACCGATTAGTCAACCCTAAGCAACTCCAGCCTGCATGACACGACGTGTAGACGTGGCCGACTGGAAGGACGTTTGGGATGTTCGCCAAGTAGGACGGGAAGTTGGGTACGGTTAGCTTGTATTTACTTGTAGCACATTACCCATGTGGTTTACATTCTGTATTTATTTGCACAGCGCAATCTAGTACTGAATTTGGTCACCAGAGGCAGGCAATTCCATATCTAACATTATGTTGGTATGTCATGTATCACACAGTATAACCAACATACTTCAATTAACTAACTATCATACCTCCTCGCCTATCCTATTATCTGGATACAAACTCGTAGTTTCAAAATGGCGTACTTGTACACCAAATCATGGTTGTAATTCTCGCTGAAGTTCTATGTTTCACCACCAGACGGAAGCAATATCTCTTTTAACAAATGTATGTTGGTACACCTAATGTAGATCAGGGTGACCAACTCATTTTCATTATTTGGATGACATACCTCCTCATACGTCCTATTACCTGGACACAAACTCAGTTTTTCAAAATGGCGTCCATGTTCATTTAATCGTCGATTCTATTTGCCATAGTTCAATATTCAGTCGGCAGATAGCACAACTTTATACTCTGCAGTTTCAAAATCAGCCACCAGAGGGAAACAACATCACAGCTGGGATTTTGTTGGTGCGCCCTGTGTAGAGCAGTGTAACCAATACATTTTCATATTTTCGGTATCATACCTCCTTAAACATCCTATTACGTGGATACAAGATCAGAATTCAAAATGATAATTCCTCAACTTCCTACATTCATTCGCGTTTGTATGTTTTGTGATGTAGTACACAGCACGGCCAAAAGATGGCAGGACATTCTGTATTACAAGCTAGCTGCTAGCGCTACTATCGCCAAATACTGAACTATTGCCGTTGCTAAAATCACGTAAAACTTCTAGGACCGCCATTTTGAATTTAGTTCATGTATCCAGGAAATAGGATAATCGAGGAGGTATGAGTTCCAAATACTGAAATTGAGTTGGTGACCCTGTCTCACAGCAGAAATACCAACATAAAATCAGTCATTTGTTTCATATAGTACTGACCTCTGATGGCTATATTTTAAACTGTATTTCATTATACAAAATGGCTGCAGTATCATACTAATAAGCAGGCGCCATTTTGAAATTTCTTCTTGTAACCAGGTAATAGGATAGAAGAAGAGGTAGACAGCTCAGCTATATGATGTACGTTGGTACTACTGTTTAATACGGGGTGACCAACGTAATATTTACTGTGCTGACCTCTAGTGGATTGAATCTGTACAATTAAGAAACACAACAATTTTCTTTCCTATTATTTTTAAATGATCTCCAAAAAATAATAAATCCGCAATCCAGTATTTATTCTCTTTCCTGATTACACTGACCTTAACTAATTTAAAGCCAATGAAATCAACTCAAATTATGACAAGGTAAACCATGAAATTCATTACTGACAAGTATCAATATGTATATAGGTTATGATCGTAGATTAATTGAAGTATTAAAATTTAAAATCCTTTGTTTGTAATTTTATAATAAATTGAACTGGAAAAACAGATTGAATATATTATCCCTTGATTAAGTTCGGCAAGCTTTGCCATGAAGGCAGTCATGCCACTGTTGGAAGTAGATAGATGTTTTTATTTATTTACTTTGCCTATTTCCACTCCATCCGTATGGAGTAATCTTCTGGGATTATTCAACACATTGTAATCACTTAAAAAAAATTAGAATAATGGCATGTGTTACAGGAATAGTATCTTGCAGTGAATTATTTAAGAAATTTAATAAATTCCCCCTCGCAAGTGAGTGACACACAGCATAAATGCAAGACATAAGCATGATATCCATGAATGGCTGCCTTCTGGGTTGCAGTGCCATGCAGGCTGGTAGAATTTTAACAAATGTTCAAGAGGTCCTGGTTTCCTCCATAACCAGCACCTACAAGGCAATAAAACCTAGAAGATAGCCATCTTTAGACTCACTGCTATGAAAACCTTAAGTCCTATATCATCTCCATCAGTCAAACATTAATCTCACTAGTCATTAGTAAGGTGCTTTCTAAGCAGGGATCAAATTAGTCAGTACTCTTCCAGATAGCATTAAAAAATGAAATCATGATTTAAAAGTATATAAGTTATTATTTACCTCACTCCTATTATACAGCAAAATTTAGTGCAACTGAAAATTATTAAATACTGTAAATATTTATGTAAATAGCTGTAATAAGCATGCAATTATAATATTCATTACCACTTCTCCTTCTTTGGAACATGTTTCCACTTTATGAGCCATCCGATTATCCATATAAATATAGCATCTGTGTGACATCAACTTATTATGGTCCTTTATATACTGGAATGAAGTATCAATGCAGTTATTAGTGCTGTCCTACCAGGAGTGATATGTAAAAGTAAAGTAAAGTATAGTTTGTCCCACTATATGCCATGTAGGAGTTTGGGGTGAGTGGAGGTATAGCTCCTCTCTTTCTTGACCTCAGCACTAGATGGGGGTGAATGGTCAGCATCACGCCCCGGCCGGCTTTACCCCCGGGAAAGGACCCCGGTACCCATTGTAGAGTAGGCTGGGTAGGCCCCAGAGCCGGTCTGGACGCAGAGGCTAGAGGAAAACTCCTTTGCCCCTGTCGGGGATCGATCCCCGGTCATCCAGCCCGTAGCTAGTCACTATACTGACTGAGCTATATGTATGGTTATTTATTGGAGCATTCTAGCCACGAATTCTATGAGCCTGTACTCCAGCTATAATAGCAGTGTATTTGTATATGTCAAGGCATTCAAACTAGAAATGTGATTTACACTTATTTTCCAAGACCCTTTATTAGAAATACGTCTATGAATTCATCAAGACACACTCACTAGCAATGCAGTGCACACACATTTTGGCAGTCTGAGTGGCATCACTACTTCTTGATAAACTGAGCAGACTGCAATGTCCATGTATTTCTTGGTGTATACTTAATAGGAAAAGTACAGCTCTGTATTTCTCAAAACATTCCTACTAAAAAGAAGGGAAAACATTTGCAGAGGCACTCTCACTAAGTTATTATGCATACATATTTGTAGAAATGGTTTAGAATATTGTGGGTGGAAGTAAGGTTAGATTTAGCTTTCATGTACATGTACTGGTATCTTTGTATTTATGTGTGTGTGTGTGTGTGTGTGTGTGTGTGTGTGTGTGTGTGTGTGTGTGTGTGTGTGTGTGTGTGTGTGTGTGTGTGTGTGTGTGTGTGTGTGTGTGTGTGTGTGTGTGTGTGTGTGTGTGTATATATACACATGTCATATCATGATGACTTTCTCTGTATGATTTAATTTAATTTTTTTATAGTTAATGTACTTGGATATATGAGTCATATTAGGCAAAATATCATGGTGATAGGTGGTGACACATCCCTTGTGTTTATTTCCATTCATAAGTACATGTCTGACTGATTGCTGTTGTTTGGTGAAAGTTACTTTTAAATGTTGTTTCTATGCACTTACCAATGTCCATTATATCTTTAATTTTGTACTTTGGTCTAATATTATATATACATTGTCCTGCGAAAACTACACCTTGTGTTTTCTTTGCATGTGTATGTACTTCTTAGTCCTCACATATTTATAATTCAAATGCAGAGAAAGGTGGAAATTTTATGGTTCCTTCCAGCTTATTGAATGTACACTAGGAAAAGTGAGAATAGTTTTGCTTTTAAAAGGCATCAGAATACAAGGACCTTTATGAACTATGGAACATCATATTAGAAAGTATTTTGAATACCTCAGGAAGTGACATGGAAAATGTGTGGTGACTCTAAAAGCTACAGCACAGTGACAGTTATGAACAAGGGTATGGTTGTGGAACTAAATTAACCAATTAACCATAGCAATGGTACTTATAACATAAAGTTTTGATGCTCAGAGAAGTTATCAGGCAATATATTTTGTAGTCTTTATCCAGAGTTCATAAATTAAATGTATAATTAGAAAGTTGTGAAGTGTATTTAATTGTAGTTCAGTTCAGTTCAGTTAAATACAAACCCTGCTTCACATGAAGCTCAGAACTAACCAATCTAATTTTCTCAGAAAACTTTAGTACAACATTGTGATTCTGAATTAAGAAAAGTATATCACTCTAATGGGCATCCGACATATCACAAGACATCTTATACAGTTTATGAGAGGTCAGCAGTCTCAAATCCCATGAAGCTTTGTTGGTATAATAAGCTAACTGAATTCTTACTATGTATGGAAAATCATGCACCAATTATGTGAATGCCCATTATATCTTTCTCTACTCAATTGAGATTTAACAGCACTTTTCAAAAATCATTATTCCTCAACTATTATCCTTTTCAAATATATAATATAATTCAAGTCTATACACAAACTTTAAATTGTTGATGTTAAAATTTAAAATTAATATTGATATTTTGCGCTATTCATCGTTATTACGATGTTACAGTATTGCGCTTTATACTACTACATGTTTCAATGCATAGCATCATCTTCAGGTTTTTTATCTTTAAAACTACTCTATATTTTTAAATGCAAGTTTTTCATTTATTATATTTGTTTTGTAGATTAACATCAACAATTTAAAGTTTGTGTATAGACTTGAATTATATTATATATTTGAATTTTAAAACACAAACATGACGCATTTAAACTATAAATATTATCCTTTTGCAATGATCCAGCAGGAGTTCTCCACCTACAAGAAATTAAACTTGCTCTCACTGGGAAATTTGCATCCATAACATATTTCTGATTTCAGAGATACTATGACTAATGCTGCTGTTAGTGGAAGACTGGACCCATTTGTCATATTTCTTTTCCTTTCTTGTAATTGCTATCTTTTTTATAACAGTATACAAAACTGTAACTTTTAATAATGCGACGTATTCCTTTTAGTTTCCTATTAGATGTGGAAATACATTTGTTTTACTTTAATATTCATAATATGTAAATTGTCTAAGGCCGTTAAGCTTCGTTGTTTGTTGCTGAGGAGTTATTTGCATTTTCCGCCTAAAATAATTTCATCCTGTACTCAGAAGAGTGCGTGAAGATCTGTAGCCATGGCATTAGCAAGCCAATATGGCGGTAGACAGTAGGGACTTGAGAAATTAGAAGACTGAATATACAATTTGATTGTAAATGTTTATATATGTTTTAAGATTGTATAATGATGAGTTAAGACTTGTGACGTGCAGTTTGCACACGTCACGGCCTCATGTGCCTCACGAGAAGACTGCAACAGAAGACTGACGGCCAGAAAGCGCCAGATCTAATAGTGCAAGACTGAGCAGGTAGGCTAGTAGAAAACTTGTTTTCCTGATACATAGAGGCGTGGCGAGGTCAGATATTACATGGGATAGATTTTAGCTTGCTGTAAATGTGATGTAGTGTTAAATGCATCAAATAACTTTATGCTACGGATAAGTTGCCTTTTCTGCATGTTAAGCAATGGGTTCATGCCTCTGTCATACATGAATATGTTTACTAGTTCAAGTTCTAGAATATTAGATGTTAAAAGATTGTTTATACATGTGATTGACTTTATACTGGATACTGTTTTTGGTGGATTAAATAGTCATACATACCAAATGAAATCAGTGACAATTTTGATATGGAGCAAATGTTTATAAGTATGCTCATGTACTTGGAAAATGGTACATGAAATTATTAAAAATTCCAGTTGCATTATTATTTTCTTAATGCTGGTATTTTGTCATAGAGCAGGTGGAATTAGGCTTGTTTGTTGTGGGTTACTGTGTGATTGTTTTTAAATTACTTGGTGTGTTATGTCTTCCACTTGTACTTTATTAATAGTTGTTTAATTGAATCAGGAGTATGCAAATATTAAATTGTTTTATTGAACCTTTGCCAACATGGAAAGACACTTGCCTTGGATCACTGAAAGAGGCATCAAGATTTCTCAAGTCCATGCCATTGAAATAAAATAAATGACCATGGCAATATTTTGAGTGTATCCATTGAATTGAAACAGAACATTTTATGTGCTTATTATGAACCAAAATAATCATTCAGTTGTTGCTTCTGGCACATTATGTGTTCATTTCCATATAATACAAGTAATATACGAGTTTATTATAATGCTGAGTATTTGTAATAGTGTGTCATAATAAAAATGTTTATGTTTTATGCAAAACTCTTTGGTTGCTCAAATAACATCCAAAATGAAAAAAATTATCCTGAAAATAAATTTAGTGAAGTTATAGACTTAAAAGAGATAATAATGATGGTTTGAGCTCAGATAATAGTTTTGTCATGACCGTTGTGCAAAGTGACAGACAGCTCAAGATGTTTCTTGATGAGAAGAGATAGGATGGTGGGACACGTTCTGAGGCACCCAGGATTGGTTAATTTGGTAATGGAAGGAACAGTTGAAGGGAAGAATAGTAGGGGGAGACATAGATTGGAATATGTGACACAGATTTTTGAGGACGTGGGCTGCAAAAAATATGTAGAAATGAAGAGATTGGCACAAGGTAGGCAAAAATGGAGAACCATATCAAACCAGTTCAAAAAAAGAAAGAAAAAATTCAAGTACACAGCAGTAAAATGTATTTATCCTTAAACTAGTTTGGTGTTTGAGGTGTGATTTTTGTTATGAAAGAAGAGAAGTACTTTAAAAATGTTAGTTGAAGTAATTGCATTATTCAAGGATGAAGCTTTATTGACAGTTTTTGTAGTAGGTAAATTCCAAAACCAGAATTTGTGGATTACAGGTATTAGGTAAGATTTTAGGTCTTTGGGTTGTTACACCGTATAGTCTGGTAAAGGTTTGTCGATGTTTCAGAGGTCCTTGCTGTTTCCATCATCAGGGCGATGAGTAAGTTTTTTTTCTTCTAGATATTAAAATGTCTTTTACATGTTAACAGAACTGCTATACACTGCTACGCAAACTTACTACATGTCTACGAGTATAGTTCTGCATTAATGATTTGTTCATCGTCTGGTAATCCTTGACAACCAACACCAACCATTGTTTACAACTTTGTGACGTCGCAATTCAACACACGTGTACGTCTGGTACATGAAACGTACTACAATCCGGATTTTCTGTCGCTTTAAGAGAAATCGTAACAAAAGACCTGACTTTGATGCACCTTGTTTTATAAGGCGTGTTCTACGTGCTTGTACCAGCACCTCGGTCAGACGATTTTGTCGTTTTCTCATTTATTACAGGCAGATTCCGTGAGAATACGATAAAAGAAGGGACGGCGTCGTTGTACATGCTTCTTACTTTGCTGTTCATGGCCATTGTGCCGTTTCTCATTTGGCTCTTTGTAAACTGTACGCGTAACATAACGACTTTAAATGCACAAAGAAACAACTGTGACATAATGTGACGATACGCTGGCTTGAACTCTAGGTGCACACTACAAGCCTAGGCCTGTTGCAGCTTACAGATGAGTTGTAACTGACTTATGTGACTGTTCTTAGTTGGCGTCGTAGATCAGAGATGGCAGTATTGTGCTTGTAACCGGTTTTAACTTCAGTGCGGAAAACTTGTTTTTATATTAATATTCCATAAATTTTATTACATAATTACAGCATCAATCCGTTAAACGTCATGTACCGACTTTAAAGCGGTGTTAGACTAGTTTATTAAACGGTCCGGTGGGTATAATTTGTTTTTAATAAATGCTGTGCACGAGATATTACGTTTAGAAACACAACAGTGTCAGTGATATGAAACCTTTTCTATCATATTTCGGAATTTGATATTAACTATTTGTGACTTTTTAACAACAAAAGTTACGGGGCACCGTAGAAGTTTATTCTGGGTCGTGGGGCTGTCGACCCGTCCCCTCTCGATGTTTCTGTAATCGATATACCTCTCGTAGTGGTCTTCATAAATTATTTCTTCTTATTCGTTTGTATTTTAATATGTTTTTTTAATTTTGCATTGATTGAATGATCTCTATACATTTTATCTTATTTTTTATCGTAGCGTTTAATTCGGATTTGTTTAATTTTTCTCTTGTTTGTGTAATAACCTCGCCCCTTCAGCACCAGAGTACATAATCTTCAGTTCTCTTTTTATCACCTTCAGTTAATGTTCGTATTTTACATATATACTAAGAAGCCGGCTGGAATTAGAATATTTTCGGAATACCACATTGGCATTTGGGGATGAGACGTGTACATTGAACGTCAACTGCTCAAAGAATTTTATCGGTGTATCTGAGTTTTCATATTTGAAGTCTGTTTTTGTAACAAGCATTTACTAATTGAAGCTATATTAGTGAAAATTTTATTAGGTCTGTATGTTATTCGTTAGGTTGAATTGTTAACCCTTATAACTCCGAAGCCTATTTGCCAAATCCCTTTGAAAATACCCAGGCCAATTGTTATGTTTTTACAACTTAGAATGTAAAAATTCACCAGGAATGGAATTTTACACACATACATATGAAGAAACTCATACACTTAGTACTGTAGAGTAGAAAAAATATTATCTCAAATTCTAATGTTATATTTTACTTACAAAAAATTTTGAAATATTGAAAAAAAATATTTACAATAAAATTTTCATATTCAGGAGGTAAAATCATAAATTGTGTTTTGCTTTCCTTCTTCATCACTTATCTTGCAAGAAATAACATTTATTCCTGCATAATTCCATATGTGTTTGGTGTTTGTACTGTTATCTAGTCCCGAACTACAACACTTTTTGTAAAATAATGCACACTTACCTTTAATATCAGACATAGTGTCAGGAGGTGGGCCTGTTATTTCTGGAGAGATGTCATCATCACTTTCAGTGCAGACTTACTTTCCGGAATAATACTATCACTAGTATCTAAATAATCCAAAATATCGTTAACATCCATTTTTGAACTTTGACCAGCCATTGCCGAAATAATAAATCTAAAAACTATAACTAAAGAAAATATCGAAAACATATCATAAGCACTATATATACTGAGGGGCCCAAAAATGTATACACAACATGACTTATAGTCATCCCTTGATGTCTGTATAAATTTAGTATTATAGCTTTTATACGGTTTTTTTGTTTTGTTGAAGTGTGTATACATGTACTTCAACTAAACACACAATTGCAAGGCTAAACACATATCTTAGTAAAAAAAAAATACATCGAAATCCACACGCAATATTTGTAAAACACGCCATGAGGTCCATATCTGAGTTCAGCGAATTTCATTTGTTCAAACAAAATATTTTTTATTAGCCTACAGGATCGATCTTTTGGGGAAAATATGAACTAAAGTATAAAACATCTGATGCAGACGCTGCCATCTGGGAGCCTTGTATGTAATTGAAACATCAGATTTAGCAGCTACTGCTTAGGTCGACGGACTTGAAATCAAAGTGTTAAAAGCTTGATACCTTTTTCTGGATTTCCAAACGCCATAGAAAATAAGTCGGTCATTACTAAGCTCGTCACACTAAGAATAAGACGTGATTTCAAATAAAGTGAAAGATCATTAAGAACTATTAGTTTTGATGTGCCTCCTAACATGTTCTGTACGTTTATCCGCACTCGTCATTGGTGCTTGCTAATAAAGTATGACATCAAGAGGACGAATTTCAAAGCTCAAAGTCACATAAACTACTCACTTCTTTCACAGTGTTCAGGGGTACAAGCAAAGTTTTAAGAATACATAGTGAAATGTCACTTCGAGGCTCTCAAGGGCAACTTTTGTTCTGGTATATGTCCCATTGGCACTGCGTGGCGTGTGGAAGGTCATTTGATTACAAAAACATCGACAAATACTAAAAACGCCTGACAAATTTGATACCCTTATTTATCTACCAAAGCAGCTTGAAGGACAGCTATATTGCTTTATATTCCTACAGACAGATGGGACACTCGAGTGAACATGCTTGTTTCGTAATGAGTGAACTTGATAACTAGGGTGTCTGTCAGGTTTGTGAGTCAGAAGGCCACACGAATTCGGTGATCTACCGGTTAATAGTTTTGTAAAGTGTCAGGTGGCACATTCATTATTTTTCTGACCACTTAAAAGAGTTACGTAATTGCTTCACTGGCCAAGAATCTTCCTGCTGTCATGGAGTCCTGCGTTTCATTACCATACTTTGCCCTCATGTTCTGGACTCTGTAAGTTTTTTATATTTATTTTCTTATTCTCACTTATACGTGTTGGTCTCCAAATTGTATCACTGTAAGATATCTCCATTTAAACTGTGTCTGCGTTTATATTTTCTTCTATGTTTGCTACATGTCTCTTGATCTGATAATATTCTCCAGTTTGTTGAATTCATTACTTAGTATACTTTATGTTTATTGTAG